GTACTTTGTGCGGCAGCACACACCTTTGTAATATGTATGCAGCATGCCCTTAATATAGGCATTTTGTATTTACTTCAATGTAATTAAAAATTTTATCACTAGAATATTCCCATTGTAATAAAGAGCCTGACCTCCTTTGTGTTGCTGGCTGCTGACTTCTTTTTAAGCGTTTGCCTCCCTTTCTTTGGCCCCACATCTGTACAGGCTGATAAAGAAAGGCCATCCCACAACTACTTATTTGACACCTGTGGGAAACTTGAGCCTCTCAAATCTCCAGCCCACATGAGTGGGAACCTTTTCCCAGCCCTAACCCCTAGTCACCAGAAAGGTCCAGCCCACTCCCTCTGTTTTGCCCAAACCAGCCTGAATCGGTTTGGGCCCATTCTGTTCTTCCTGGGAGTCTTTTTGTGAGTAATGAACTTTCTTTTTCTCTTGATGTGTGGAGTATCATCAGCATTGATATCTAAATCGGATAACCAAAAACACTCATCTGATGAAAAAAGTAATACAATTTTTTAAAATCAATTTTTAAGGTCAGTTTGAAATGTGAGACAAAAAAAAATTGAACATTTGCAATCACATATACTATTCAAACTGAGTCTCTTAACACAAAGAATCGATATGTTCCTCTAAAACATGACAATGAGGCAGAAGCTGACAGGGACAAATGTACAAAATAAAACTTCCCACAAAATAAAATTTCCACACAAATAAAATTTCCTTTCTAATTTCCTTCCTAAAAAGTCCCACAAAATAAAATTTCATAATTATTATATTCAATAATTGTTTTGGTTATAAACTTTCTAACAGAAATATCTTATATATTGAATTTCTACATGAGAAATACCGACATATTATGGTGTCTGACTATTCTTCCTCCTGATCCTCTCATTAAATAAGTGTTTCCTAAAGCAACCTTCTAAACTATTATTTTGTCTTTGTATGAAAGCTTCAGGAGAATAAATATATTCAGTTTCCTGCATCCTAGCCAAGCCATGAATTAATAAATTGGCAGGATTAGAATCATGTTCAACAACCTCCCTTGGATTTATACCTGCCAGCTCTCTGCATAGATAAAGCTGGAAGATTTTGGCAGCACCTTGAGTCTAGATTAGACATATTCATTTTTCAGTTGAAAAGTCTTTCTCTGCCAATATATTCAATACATTTAATCCTCAAGTACTTTTTTTGATAACAGCCCAAATTCTCATTAAAATTATCCTTTGCAAAAAAGGAACAGCATTGTTATGATTTGAAATCCCCACCAAAACTCATCGTGAAATGTAATTACCATTCTAATGGTGTTAAGAAGTAGAAACTTTAAGAGATTATTAGGTCATGAGAGCTCTGCTTCATGAATGGATTATAGTAGTGGGTTAATTGTCACAAGAATTTGGTCCCCTTTTTGTCTCTGTCTCATGTGCTTGCTTGCCATGTGGTGTCCTTCCACCTAGGATAACCCTTGTCAGATGCCAGCACCAAGCCCTTGGACCTTCCAATTCCAGAACTGTGTGCCAAATAAATTTATATTCTTAATAAATTAACAAGTCCATGGTATTCTAGCAGCAGAAATCCAATCAAGAGAGAAAACTTGCACCAATAAGTGGAGCTGTTGCTATAATAAATACCGAAATATGTGGAAGTGACCTTGGAACTGCATCATGGCTTGAAGACTTGGAAAAAAAAAATGTACTGTTGTGAATAGAGCTTTAAGAGGAATTCTAGTGAAGGTTTGGAAGAGAAGAGCTGTAGAAAAAGTCTGAATCTTCTTAAGGGTTTATTTAATTTGTTGTGACCAGAATACTCTTAAAATATGGAGAGTAACGGACATTCTCATGAGGTCTCAGACAGAAATGAGGAACAGGGTATTGGAAACTGGATTGAAAGCCATCCTTGTTATAAAGTAACAAACACCTTGGCTGAATTGTGGCCATACTCTATGACTTTGTAGAATGCAGAACTTAGGAGCAATGAACTAGAATATCTGGTGGAAGAAATTCCTAAACAGCAGAGCATTCAGGTTTCTGCCTGGCTACTTTCACCTGTTTATTGTAAGATGTGAGAGAAAGAAATGACTTACAGATAGAGTTTATATTTAAGAGAGAAGCAGACAAAAAATTGAAAAATTTACAGGCTCACTATGTAAAGAGTGAAAAAGCATGTTCAGGAGAGAATACCAAATGTGCAGTCAAGTACTGTTTGCTAAATATACTAACATGGCTAAAAAGGAGCCATGTGCTGTTTATCAGGACAATAGGAGAAAAATTTAAAAGGAATTTCAAAATCTTTGAGGCTGCTCCTGCCCTCACAGGCTCTGGAAGGCAAAATGATTTCAGGGGATATGCCCAAGGCACTCATCATGGGCACCCTGTCCAGGGTCACCTAGCAATTATTCTCCCTACATTCCAATGTAACATTCCTCAGCTGCCCCAGTTGTGGCTCAAGTGGACTCAGGTGAAGCTGGGGCTATTACTCTGCAGAGTGCAAGTGGTAGGCTGTGGCAGCATCAATAGGGTGTTACATCTTCAGGCAGAGTATGAGAACTGTGGCTATGGGTTCCTCCACCAAGAAAAGCATAAAGACCCAGACAGAGACTTGCCTCTAGGGTGAAGCCACCACAGACAGCCCCTACAGTGTTGAGTAAAAATGTGGGTTTGGACTTCACAAAGAGTTTCCACTAGGGCAATGCCTGCGGAGCCACGGAAGTAGGACCCTCCCTAAGACCACAGAGCTGTAGGACTAAAACAGCATGTGACTCCAACCTGTGAGAACTGCAGAAGCTGAGTCCAGCAAAGTCCACGGGTCAGGGTTGCCTAAGGCATTGCAGGCCCAGTGTATCCAGAAATTAGGACACAGATAAAATAATATTTTTTCTCAGCTTTATGACTTAATGTTATTTTTCCTGTTGGGTTTTAGACTTACTTGGGACCAGTTATTCTTTTCTTGCCTATTCCTCTGTTTTGGAATAGAAATGTCTATCCTATGACTGTCCCACCACTGCATTTTGGAAGTAGGTAATCAGTTTTGAATTCATAGCTTCACAGCTGGCAGAAATTTGCGTCATGATGAATCATGTGAGTCTCACCCATATCTGATTTAAATGAAACTGTGAAATTTGGACTTTTGAGTTAATGCTGAAACAAGTTAAAACTTTTGGAACTATAGGGATAGAATGAATGTATTTTATATGTGAGAAGAACATGAGTTTTGGGGGTCCAGGAATGGAGTACTATGAATTTAGTGTCCCCTCCTAAATTCACATTGAAACTTAATTGCTATTGCAATGGTATTAAGGTAAGGATAGGGACATTAAGAGGTAATTAGACCAGGAGGATGCCACCTCATGAATAGATTAATGCCCATATCATGGGAGTGTATTAGTTATCCAGGAAGTGTTGGCCCTCTTTTTCTCTCTGTCTTGTGTAGCTGCTCACCATGTGATGGCCTTCTGCCATGAGATGACACTCTCCAGATGTGTGTGCCATGGTCTTGGACTTCCCAGCCTTGAGAACCATGAGTCAAAAAGCTTCTGTTTTTTTTTTATAAATTTCTCAATTTGTAGTAATCAGTTAGAACTGCAGAAAAGGGATTGATACAAGTACCAAGAGAAAGATCCAGTCTATTCACTATTCAAAATATTTTCTCTACTTCTAGTTTTTGTACATTGTTTAGTTTACTTCTAATATTAAATTTTTATATTTTACTCTGACTTTTCTAAGGGCATTTATATTTCATTTGACTAGCTATTTTTCTTTGGGTTTAAGGAAAGAAAGGAAAATACACACAGAAAGAATAAAGATGGGTAAAATAAAGAATATAAACTTCCAAATGTCTGTCTCTTTTGTGTAAAGAGTATAGGGGAATTTGTTTGTTTTACTAATCATTTCAGTTTAAATCCAAGAGGCTGTGCAAGACAAATGGAAAATGTCAGAAAGGATGACATGACAAAGAGTCTAATAAACTGCAGAATGCTTATACCACTGAAAGGAGCTAAACCACATAAACTGCCTTCTGAGAATGGAACAGGTAACTAAGCCAAACAGGTTCACAACCAGGATAAGCAACACATTGACAGTGAAGAAGAATAATGCAATCAGTTTCCCCAAATAGTTCACAAATGCTGCAATATATTATCTACTTATGAATCCTATCCTTATCATGAGATAAATGAAAGGCCATCACATCAAATGTCTTGCCATGTATATAGTCTAACTGAAAAAGTGCTTATTAAACCTACTGTTAATTTTTTTAGTTGATGGTGTGTGCTTTTTCAAAGCCTTTTGTACTTTGCAACAGGCAGCAAAATAATTCCAGTATCTCTAATGCTAATGACATAGTCAAGTCAATATATTTCAACCACGATGTTTTTTTACTTGCATAAAATTCCATTATAAATAAACAAGGAAGCTTCCCTTTTTTTTTTTTTTGAGATGGAGTTTCACTCTTATTACCCAGGCTGGAGTGCAATGGCACCATCTCAGCTCACCGAAACTTCCGCCTCCTGGGTTCAAGCAATTCTCCCTCAGCCTCCCGAGTAGCTGGGACTACAGGCACGTGCCACCATGCCTAGTTAATTTTTGTATTTTTAGTAGAGACGGGGTTTCACCATGTTTACCAGGATGGTCTCAATCTCTTGACCTCGTGATCCACCTGCCTCGGCCTCCCAAAGTGCTCGGGGAAGCCTCCCTTTTTATATGTTGATGACTCTCTCACCTTTTTCTTTTTAAATATTTTAAATGCCAGATGTAAGTGATGGGGAGGACGGCAGCAAATCACGCTGCCACGTGTGTACCTATGCAACAATGTTGCATGTTCTTCACATGTACCCCAAAACCTAAAATGCAATAAAATAAATTGGAAAAAAAAATGTTTTGTTTCCCCATTACACTGTTTTGTAGTTTGAATTGGCAGAAATATTTGAGACAATAAAACCTTTTTCTAAAATATGTTAAATAATTATTTATCATACCCTTTTCACCTAAAAATTAAGAAGAAGTTACCTTCTTGATGGTCTCCAACATTGAGCGCCCACCCTGCCAGGGCTTCGAGTTCTTTCTGATACATGACAAACTTGCCATACTGTGCCACTTCCGGTCCTCCAGCTTCTTATGAAAAGCATTAGCAAGCAGAAGCACCGTGTCATATATGTAAAGGTTTGAAATCTGAAAAGACATTAGAAAGTGATCATTAGAATCATTGACATCAGTCATCAAGAATAAGGAGTAAAACAATTGTCTCAGCTGCTGCTGTTCATGTCGTAGATGGCTGGTTGGCTGGGTTATTTATTAATCGGAAGGTTTCTTTTGTCATTTTCTGGGCAATTTTGTCATTGAGAATGAAGTCTTGTCTGACTGTATGCCTCAATTGCTTTTTCAGCTTATTTAGGTGTGAAAGAGAAGATTAAAAAAAGAAAGAGATAAATTTCGACAGAGATAAGGCTGTTAGTGTCAGGCCTTGGAAAATCATTGGTCCTTATTTCTCTCTGAGGAGGTAAGAATCTAAGGGCTTAAGATTGGTAGGGCAAATTGAATAATACATTTTCTGAATATGTCAAGTTGTGGCATTCTAGTTATTCAAATGGAAAAATACCAACTTGATCTTATATATGAGTGTCATACATACATAAAATGAAGCAGTCAACTGTGTGTATGTCTGTGTATATGGAGATGCTGTAATGAAATAATGAAATAACAGAACCATTTATAGCTTATATAGGTATACACATGCATTGCAATTCATTGATTTCACAAATACCATAAACTATTAACTGTTTGTGAATGTGTGTTTACATTAACACATTCTTCTAAGGTACCCATGATTAGCTTCTTTCTACATTCACAGGTTGTAAAATAAATTAATAGATTGGAAAATAAATTATAGCCAATTTTTTCTAAGGTTAATTGTACTCTTACAACTAAGTCTTGTCAGAGCTACTATTTATATTGTCAGTTAATCACCAAAGGTACTTATTTTTCAAAGAAGTTAAAAATTACTCAGAAAACATAATACCAAAAGGGATCCTAGGTCAATAAAAGCTGATTAATGTTATATTATTACCTCTGAAGGAAAAACTCAGTATAAAATAAACAAAATGAGAAATCAATGTAGTGATGAAAATTAATTCCATCTTAAAACATTTGTGTTTTTCAGATTTTTAAAAGTATATTGTTATGGTTTTCCCTAAAAACACAAGGGATTGTGGACTGTCCTCAGATTATAATTAATCATGGAGGAAATTTTTGAAATAGTCTACCCACATCACAGAATGGTACTAAGCTTTGGCTACTGAGATAGAGGCCGATGCTATGCACAGCTTTTGATAAGAGTTTCCTAACAATGCATTGTGAGTTTTCTTTTACATACCATGTAAATCTTCAATCATTTGTGTTTGTTAAGCATCATTTTACATGTATAATACTTATAGACCTTTTTTGAAGAGACATTGAACACTCAATGTTTGTCCTTCATAAGGAAATATCAGGACTGGCTATTTTCACTACCATCCCAGCCACTTCCCATTTTGCCCAATGATTACTAGATAGACTACAAAAGAATGGCTGAAATCTGCTATAAATGAAGAGTGACACTTACAGCTAACACTAGTCCATGAATCAACAGTCAGGTTGGAATTAGGCGATAAAGACCCAGCAGGAAAAGATAGACGTTACAGGAAGTATAAATGTCCAGGGAAATCAAAATAATATACAATTACCTGGCCTTTCCTAACCTCTCCTGGTTCCACTGCCTATAACTTGGTTCCTCTCACTTCTCTAGCTTTATTTTACTCTTCCCTTTGGTAAACGTGTATTTTTTAGGTAAGGAGATATCAAAGGATGCCACCCCAAAAGATTGTTGGGGTGGCATCCTTTGATATCTCCTTATCTTTGTCGAACTAGTTGACATTTTTCAGTATTTGTTTCAAAGGTTACATGCTGGGAGAATCCTACCCTACCAACTTCTCATCTTCTTTTCCTATCTTACACTATGGTGAGTAGTCTCTTTTTATTTATGAGAACACATAGTGCATACCTCTTTAAAACACATCAGAATACTTTTTTAAAATCTCCCTTTTGCACAAAAATAAATTTCTTCTGGATGGGGAAGGAATCTTTACATCTGTATATTTTACACCTTTTCTCCTTTATATATTTTCTCCTTCATTTTTCCCTGTAATTTAATTTATTTCCCTTAGACTGACTAAAGCCTAGCACATACTTGGCTTTTGATAAACAGTTATCAAATAAAGAAGACAAAGGATGGAAAGAGGAGAAAAGGAAATTTAATTTTAAAGCTAGGTATGTTTGACAGAAGTTGAAACATAAAAAATCTGGTAACCTGGGTTCTATCCAAACTTGACACTTCTGTGGCACATTCTCTTTTGCATACCCTGAGGCATGTATTTTGAGCATCTATGCTAGTCTTAAAGGTGAATACTTTGTACCTGTTATGTGACAGGCATTTCCAATAAATGACTACATCTTCTCATTTGTCCACATTCCAAACTGCAGGATCAAGAAGTGGTGGTGATATTCTCTGAGATTTTCATTACCCCTCCTAATCTGCCACTTATTTTACAGGCAAGTTTCCATTATTTGAGCTTCATGCTTTTTCCTATACTACATCTTATCACTTTTGTCTGTCATTATTAACTGATCTTTTGGTCAGTTTTTATTTGTGAGGTCTCTGACTCCTCTTTCACAATAATACCAAACTATCTCTCATCATTTAAAAAGGTCACTGCAATTTCTATACTGATAATCTTCACTTCTACTTGGCCTCAACCAACACAAATGACCATTTACTGGCAGAAACATATACCACCTCTAAAATCATAGACCTCAGTATTTCACATATGGCCATTCATTTCTTCCCACCTTACTTACTGGCACTACACTTGTTCTTTGACATCACCAAACCTCCAACGCCCACCTCCTCTACATTACGAGCTTTCAATATTTAACACCATCTACGGCTTGGTTTGAAATATTTTTCTTTTAGTTTTCATCATCTGGCATAGTTTCTAGGCTGATCATCTTAGTTCTCTTTCTCTGTCTTTCTTTTGTGTTTCAATGTTTTTATTAAAAATTTAGTATCCAGGATTGACACATTATTACAGATGTGATCTGACTAGGAGAGAATACTGTAAGACATTAGATTTCTTTATCTTAGCAAAATTCTTCTGACATAGAGACCATGATTATATTAAAATGGTTACAGCAAATATGATTTGAATGATACACATACTTAATTTACCTTCAACTTAAAGGTTTTGAACAGCTGTCAAACCAGGATTCTTCCATCTAGGCTTCATGTAATTGATTTTGAACTTATATTTTATCTGTACTATTTCAAATTTAGGCTTATTATTCAGTCGACACTAACAATTTGGAACATGATTAATACAACGTAAGCTTTCTCTTCTAGCTTTATGCCATTTACAAATTTGATGGGCATGTTTTATTCATTTTCATTCATGTAGTGATAGACATTTTAAAAAGTACTAGGCCTAAAATAGGATCTTGTGAATGACCATAGAGAGCTCCTTGCATTTCAGGAATAGAATACTTATCAGTGCAGTTTGAATGTTCCTCTGGTGCTGCAATCCTCAAACTCGGGACAAAAGAACTCCTGGTGGTAGGCTGTAGATATCAGGAAGTACTCAAAGCTACAGAATACATCTAAGGCATATTCTGGTCATATCAATACTGTTTAAGATTTAATTGTTTCATTTAGATATCAATTTTGTTTGAAGATTTGGAAAAATACAACTAAATAGTTTAGTTGTAAAATAATTTGAAGTATTACTTTTAATGGTATAGAAACAGAAATGTTATAACTTTTAAAGATAATAATGAGATTTATATATTTTTGAGCTTTATTTCTCCTTCTGTCTGAGGTCAGAGTATTCACTATCTTCTGCCTTTAGCAGCCCTTTGGTGAAAATGTTTGTCATCATTCTATCAGGACTTATCAATATCTTTCCTAAGGATGTCATGCAAAAATTTGTCAAACACCACATAAAAGTCAACATGCAACACATAGCTTTATGACATTCTCCCAATCTAAAAAAAAAAACTATAAATAAGGGCTTAATTTGGCAGTGCCTGTTTTTAACGAACCCCTATCGTCTTATCTGAAGTACTCCAAACCATTTATTTAAACCATTTATTCTACAGTTTATCCAAACAGTAACATTTAATATGCCAAACTCTGTGAGAAGCTTTTTTCCTTTCTTTCAAAAATTGGGACAATACACCAATCTCCTGTACCTTGGTCCTCTTCCTAAGTGTTTCTCCAGTATTTCTGAGCTATCATATTTTGATCACCCATGCTGACTGATTGGCTACTCTGGGCAATATTTGGCAAGCTTAATTCAAAGCAGTGGGCCTACTCTTGCTATCTCCCTGCTCCTTCTAAACCAGTGGATTACTATTTTTTAAAATGAATTTTACTCTAACCTTTTCAATTTGAAGACAATTTTTCTTAGATGGAGAAAACAGAAGCAGAAGTATTAGAATGTTTCTGTTTTTTCTCCATTAGCAGCCAAACTAACATTAATTCCACCAAGCAGTAAATGGATCATTTCCTGCTTCTTACATATGTTGCTAAAAACATTGTTTTCTAGCTAAAAGTTGTTCTTTAGTATTTATTTTTCAACTTCAGCTAATCCTGGGTTTTAGTCTTTTGGGCACTAATTAAAAAACTTATAAAATTTATTTGCTGTTTTTTCTAAATTTTACTTCTCTATGTATATTAAAATAGGTAACAGTCCAGAGATTAAATTTTATCACACATAAGAGGGGTGTTAATATATAACAAATCCTCAAAGCAAAGGTAGTTTTCTTCTATCTGTGGGTTTGACAGGACCAAGAAGAAGGTATGGGTCAGAAGGAAGGTGGTGCTTCTCATACAGCTTTATTGTTTCGGGTAAGATTAGGAATATAGACATAAATAAAATATGTGTTCCCAGATATGGAAGTCCTCATCAGCTGAAATAGAAAGATTATATTGATAGGTAAACATGCTGTAAAATAATTTCTGCTTTCCCTAAATGACACAGTCAATAATTTTTCTTAAGTTTGTACTTCATTTCCTGATACTTCTTTCGACAAAAACAACTTTTAATATTTTATAATTTTCTAAATCAAAATTATTTCATTTATTTTTTCTATTTAGAATTCTATCATTTTCATATCAATTATATTTATGACCAGTTAAAATGCAAACATGGGCCATTACAAGCATATTGACACAGTTTGGCTGTGTACCCATCAAAATCTCATCTTGAATTGTAGTTCCAATAATTCCCACATATCATAAGAGGGACCTAGTGGGAGGTAATTGAATCATGGGGGTGATTATCTGCATGCTATTCTCATGATAGTAGTGAGTTCTTATGCGATCTGAAGGTTTTATAAGGGGCTTTCCCCACTTTTGTTCAGCCCTTCTCTTTCCTGCTGCCATGTGAGGAAGGATGTGTTTGCTTCTCCTTTCACCATAAATGTAAGTTTCCTGAGACTTCCCAGCCCTGAGGAACTGTGAGTCAATTAAGCCTCTTTCCTGTACTTTATAGTGTGAGAATGAACTAACATACATATACATAAGGGTGGAACTGAAATTTAAAGAGACGTTGTTAAGGCTTCAGAGGACTTACTTTGACTTTTGCTTTCTCCTTTATTACATTCAAAAGTGTATATTCACACAGATCCAAAGCACTGTGGTATGTATGATGGAGGAAATGGTAGAGAAGCATGTTATAGGTACTTATGATGCTGCGTTCTTGAAGGGAACTATTTATGTTGAGACAGGGATTCACTTTGACACCCAGGTGGGACTATAGTAGCACAATCTTGGCTCACTGCAGCCTCGACCTCTAGGGCTCAGGTGATTCTTCTCCCACCTCAGTCTGCTGAGTAGCTGGGACTACAGGCATGTACCACCATACTCGGCTACATTTTTATATTTATTATTATTATTATTGCAGAGATGTGGTTTTGTCATGCTGCCAAGACTGGTCTCAAACTTCTGGGTTCAAGCAATTCTCCACCCTAGCCTCCAAGATTGCAGAGATTACAGGTGTAGCTACTGCACCTGGCCATGGAAAGGACCTGTTTTAAAGGACCTTAAAATCTAGTAGGGAACAGAAAGTAGCAGGGCAATGATCCTGGAGCCAGTCCACTCACTACCATGATAATAATTAGAAGAAATGGTTGGATAAATGGTAAATCATTTTTTTTTTAATTCAAGGGTGACTAATGATAGAGATCATCTTATTTATCTAGTATTATTAGAGAGGAACTAGTTTTCCTAAGGTTATATTTCCAAACTATTAAAACTGAAAATATCGAAGTACAAAAATGTTCCCTATAGTAAATATTTTAAAGAACAGGTTTCTAAAATATATTAGGTTTTGCTGACTTCTAAAATTGGCCATGACTTTAATATTTGCTGATATCTCAGGGTTATTGTTTAAATATTAACTTATATGCTAGGATTACAATGGAGTGATACCTTTAGGAGTTGTTTTATGGCACAGATTTGTTTTTGCAGGAAGAGTCCTATACTGACAGGATATATGAGTTAGTTTATCTGATTGATTTTTTCCCCTGTCTCTTGCCTTGAGAGGGCTCCTTAAGGCTCCCTGCTGTTGTCCAGTGTGCTTGTTTTGTGTAACACCCACTTCAAATTGACATATTGAGATCTCTAGTGCAAGGTGAAAAAAAAATCAGATAGGCTTTTTCTTAAGAAAAAGAAATAGGCTTCAAGTAAGTATTTGAAGGGCATTCTTATGAGTAAGCTACAGGGACTTGGTGGTCTCTGTTTTGCTGTTCATAGATTTTATTTTTATCTTTCAAATTCTTTGTTGTATTCTGGATGTTGAAAGTTTCAGCTATATCCTCTGAGTTGGATATGACCATACAATGCTACAGCACTTTTGTGATTTCTAACTTTTTTTCTTGTTGTTTCACTTATTCAAACTGGAGACTAATCTTTTTAGAAAGAATAAATATCTATGTCCTTCTTATGCCAGCAAAGTCAAGCACATTTATTAGCTTAATAATTTAGAGTTTGGAATCAGCAGTAACAATTACAAATTCACCCATGAGAAATATTATGTATCTACTTGTTTAGAAGAAAATAACCCCTACTTATTATATTTTTATTAAACAAGTGGAAATTTTTCTATAGTGAGATCAAAAGGAGCAAAAATGTAAATTCTTAGCACTTTCTTCCCATCAGAATTAGGAAATTGCTGGAGGAGGAGAATTGTTCAGAAATAACATGCATAATTCCGAATCCAATGCAACTCATAAAGCTCTCCTTAAAATTTCCCAACAAAGCACCCTGGAAGAAATACGCTGGCATTTATAATATACCTCCATATTTTGAGCAAATGGATCCTTTGGATCACACAATGTTGAAGATATTCGATGGTTGCCACGGAAACACCGCTGACTTATATTCTGGGGAACTGGAAATGTCTGCCGAATAATTGTTAACCTTCCAATTGACCTTCTTACAAGTTCCTGTACATCCACATCGTTTATTTCCTATAAGATAAGAGGTGGAAGAATTAGAGATACTTTAATACTGTAACAAAACGCAAACCTATTATGAGTTATCTGTAAATGTTAGGGATCCTGTTACTATAATATATTCTGAGTCCAATACAACTCATAAAGCTTAATATTTAGTGCACATCTAAATGAAAGCAACATTTTCGTTAAAATGATCAATTCATTTGTATTTGCTTTAAATTATATACATTAGTGCCTAAACAATTCTAAATGGAGCAATTGATTTAGATATGGTTATTAATAATAAGTTTGTAATTTATAATGTTGAACATTTTAGAAACATAGGTGTGGTCAAAACGTTTAAAAAGGTCACAAAGTAAGTTGCTATTATAGTTCATTATTAATTAGTGATTTTCAAATACCTATTATTTTGAGTATCTAGGAAGGTAGTTGCCATGTAAGAGTTATACATATGCACATGAGCATGCATGCATGCACAGACACACCCACACACACACATAATTAGCAATGAAAAATTTGGCTTTTAATTGAGGCAAGTAGAGCAAGAGGATATATATGGAGTTTTTCTAATAATTTATTAGGGTTATTGATATTAACTTGTGCGTTTTTCTTGGTAAGGAATAGATGAAAAATTCTGTTGTTTAATACAGTCTGAATCAGGATGGGATGAGGGAGAAACCCAGCGCTCTTTATCTAAATGAATTTTATCTAAACAAATTTTATCTGTTCTAAATGGAATTAGAAAAAAATGATCAAAACAAATTTTAGTTTTAAGGTAGTCTTTACTAGAGAAGTTTGTGCTTAATAGCGTTCATTTGGAACATTTTAAACCAAGGAAGTCTTTGTAATTAACATACTATTGGTTTCAATCAATTCTTATGGCAACAGAAATAAAAGATTGGACACAAAATAAGTTTTGAGCTGCAGTGAGATGTTTGATCTAAGAAGTTATTACAGAAAAATGATAGAGAAAAAAGATAATTCACAGGTGTAAATTTTCTTTTTATCCTTACCAGATTAATTACACATTATTATTTCTTGTAGCATATGTTAGATTAAAAAATCATCTTTTATTTATGACCTTTATGAAGTATAGATTTTTCTGAAAATAAAATAATGCCTGCCATCAGCTAGATCTAGTGTAATATCCTGGATTTCTGGGCATTTAATCAATCCTTAAGGTGCCATAAAAATGGTTTTTCTCAGTTTAAAATGCTGTCTTTTCCCTTTAGTCTGTGTCATTTCACTGGCCACCAGAAACTTTGTCTGGCAAAAAGCAGGTCACTTTTAAATTCTATGTAACCTATTCACAAAGTAGGATTAAATGGTGTCCTGTCAACTCCATTTGAAGCTCTGGCTTTTTAACCAGACATATTTTAAAGTTAATTAATATGAATATTGCTATTCAATGTCTTTCAATTTTTTTTAATTCCAAATGATACAGACAGGAACTTTCACTTGAAAGGCAGTGAAAAACTGAACCACTTTTCTCATAATATTAACTAAGTTTTCTTACATATATGGTCATCTTTGCTTTAGCAATATTAAGATTTATCAACATTTTTATCAAACAGCACCATCTCTATCTATCCCACTCATAATGAATTACAAATCAGCATACCGGATAAAAATTTACATTTAATAAGTATCTACTATATGTTAAGCAAAATACTAATTACTTTATTATCTCATTTTCTGCTAAAAGATGATACTCTGAATCATATGCTCTTTATTCTCAGTTTATAAACAAAGATTCAGGAAGACTTGAAGCTCTTCATTCACAATACTCTGTTTATGGGATGAATTTATAAATGTCATAAAAAGAAACAGTCTCTGAAGAAGTTGTACAAGCCCATATTTCCTAACAGGAATTATTTAGATTAATATTTATGAAAGGTAGAAATTAAAACTATAAAGATACATTATTTCAGCATTTAATTTCCTGATGATTCTGTAGGGAATGATGAAGTCATCTATCATGAGCCGAAGGCTTTAAGAGGACATTTTTCAAACCCACAGAAAAGGAAAAGGGCTGATTACCTTTTACAGGTTTCCAAAGATGAAGTTCTTGGGCACCTAAACAACTGAAATATATTTGAAGAAATGTCAATTTGAATTGACTATATTTTGCCTATTATTATTTGAGGAAGGAAAGAGAAAGTAATTTTCTGGGAAGAAAGAATCTGCCATTCTGAATGTAATTAACAGACAGTCTGTCTCAAAAAATTCACTTGCAATTTTAGTCTTGACATCTGATCTCAAAAACAGTTTAACAGTGATATGAAAACTTGATTAGGCAGCTATTTCATATTTACAGAACTTTACTTGTGCATTTAGGAAGGGGCATTTCAAGAGTGGCAGATGCAATGTTATATAAACACTGAAAGACAAGTGATCGTATAATCTATAAAGCGATCCATTTAAATGGAAAAAAATCCAGAAATAAACTTGTGTATTAAAATATGAACCTGTTATACAATCTACTAGGATCCACATTATTCTAATGCTTTGATTTTTTTTAAATGTTTAAACTGCCAGATTTTTAAAAATAATCATGTGAAGAACTAGTTTACCAAAAAAGCACTCACTCTCCTCAGCCCCCAGCACCACAAAATAGCTTAATCTTTTAAAAGATACATAGTGTTCCTGAGCTTTAAGTAATTTAAAGAACCCAGATTATAAAATTATTTTCCTTCTTATATTCTTTATTTTATTGAGTATATTTATAAAAGTAGAATTAATTTATAAAAGTAGAATCAATAAAAATGATTAAATATTTTTTAGTGAGTTAACTTTTCTATTTTACTTATTTAGGAGTAAAGGTTACTTAAAAACTACTAAGAATCAAAGTCAATATGTCCAGCAAAATATTCTTATTCACTTTGCTTTAATAATTGAATATAGATTGAATGCTGAACTGTGAAAGATCCAAGGAAGAAAAAAGAATGCTAAAATATCTTCTGGGGATACAACCCTATCTAGAAACAGCCATTTCCCAGAAGAAATCTGTTAGGAGAAGTGAATCATTCCTGAATTTTTGTAGTATATCAGCTTTAGATTTAAATTAATAAGATTGTGGGGAAGAAAAGACTCTCAAAATCCATTAGGTTAGATGCTAATTTAGACTAAAAAATCTACTTCAGAGGAATAGTTTCCTTTTTCCCATTCTTATGCCTCTTAGCATCTAACAAATATTCTGGCTCATAGTAGGTATTCAATAAATGTTGATAATATAAAATCTAATTAATAAATGAAAGGTAAGATTTTATCATCTTCTAAAGACTGATAACTGAAATTTTAATTCTAGATACCAGAATTCTTTAAAATGTTAAACAATTCTAAATAAGACAGATTTTAGTATTGAGATTAAGCCATCTACTATGTGGTGTATTTTTTTCTTGTTTATATTTTTCATATTCTAGCAAAGATGACCCTTTGATGCTTCCATAAAATTTAACATTAATATGACTCAATTAAGCAAATGTTGAAAAATGGAACAAAACCAACTAAAGGCTATATATCAACAGGAAGAGAAGCAGAATGGTAACTTTCTACTTGAAAGCTTAGAAGTGAGCAGTTCAATTCATCATTAAACTAGAAAAAATAAAAAACATCCATTACACATGTAGGTTTTTAAAATCTCAAAACAACAAAACCTCCCAAACCTGCTGGGCATGGTGGCTCATGCCTGCAATCCCAGCACTTTGGTAGGCTGAAGCAGACAGATCACCTGAGGTCAGGAGTTTGAGACCAGCCTGTCCAACATGGTGAAACCCTGTTTCTACTAAAAATACAAAAATTAGCCAGGAGTGGTGGCACATGCCTGTAATCCTAGCTACTCAGGAGACTGAGGCATGAGAATCGCTTGAATCTAGAAGGAAGAGGTTGCAGTAAGCCGAGATCACACCATTGCACTCCAGCCTGGGCAACAAGAATGAAACTCTAATACAAAAAAAAAAAAAAAAACCACCAAACCCAAACCAACACCAAACCCAAACCAACAACTTTCTTCTTAAAGGTAATACTCGGGTGTGATTAACAGAGAATTATGTCCTAAACTATTCAAATTAAGTAAAAACCAAAAAGCTAGTAGAATCACATCAAGACAACAAAGGTCATATTCAATATTATCAGGCAATGGAAGGGTACATGAAGCGTTGAACTTCTTGCAGCCCTAAACAGTGCACATCTTCCTATCTGAATTTCTAACTTTTGTAAAACTTAAGTAAAGTGTTAGGCCATCTGCTTCAGGGCCCTAAAGGGATGACAATACTTGTATGGAAAGGCTGTTCTGTACTGGATCCACTGATTATGTGGAGAAGATAAATACTATTACCAAGTACTAACATATGATTGATTACACCATATGAGTTAGCACAGCCTCTCATTATTATAGCACACTTAATGCAAATGAAAAAAATATATTGTTTTCAAGTTTCTACATCAATTTGTATCATGATGCACAATGCCAACTTTGATTTATATTCCCTCCTTAAAAAACTATTGATGCAATAAGATTAAATCAATGTCTGCAATCCCTTTTAAAATTAGCAACAAAAAATAGCTACACAAACAAAACTAGACCGATTCATGTTCTCCATGTTCAGCCAAAATGGGCTTTTGCATATTTTGAGGGATTTTTTATTATTACATTTAGGTTTCTTAGCTTTCTAGCAATTTTGAAAAATCCACGTTTTTTTCTTTTATAGAAACTAGGGATAATTATAATTCATCCATTATAAATTTGTATAAACAAGTATGTAAATGAAAAGTGTGCAAGAAAAGTGTAAAAGTCATTTTCTGAGGCACATTTCAGAATAAAGTGGATGAATGAGATAATAAGGTGGGTGAATGGAATAGTTTGAAAGTAAGAGTGTTGATTTTGGATAAACTGGACAATAATTTTTTTTTTTTTTTGTAGAGGTGAAAATACAGAAAATATTTGCTCATTATCTGAGTTTTAACCTTGTTCAGACAAAAGTATTAACCAATGTAACATAAATGTTATGGGCTGTTGTATTTTTAAGAAGTTAGGTAATGTGACTTGCCAAAAAGAAATTATACCTCTGCTGGGAGATAAGAAAGTAGGGCTGCAGATAAGAAACAGATAAAGGTTTCAGTCATGGTTATGGTGAAGTTTTATTAGACAATTTACAGTAAAAAACCTAGGTTTGAAGGATGAGAAAAGAATTGAGGTCTCCTTAATCATCTTCTAGGCTTCTAACATTTGTTGAGTTATTTACCAGTTATTAGATTGCTTTGTTTATATGGATGTTTTATTTTGCGAAATAGTGGCCCAAATTATGGTATATCCATTTAATGACAATATTTTCATTACCAATATTTTATGAAATAAAATATAAGTTTAACAATATGAATCATAATGCTTATGAAAAATACAATAAAATATTAATTTTTATTCTTCTTTCCATACTATTTATTACCAATGAAATACATGCTATTCAGGCTACACCTATATAATTATGAAGAGGTCATTTCTTCCAAAGTACAAATTGAGCTTTAAACAGTGGGTAAGTGACCATGGTGTTCTTGGAAGCTCTACTTCAGTTCAAACTTTTAAGTTCAGGGTATGCTTTCACATTAAATTGGATATGAAAAAAATAATTAAGGGGTTTCTTTGGTAATCTTATCAACCAATAGACGCTAATGGCCATTTGTAAGCATCAATTCCTCTAGCTTAATCCATGTCTCTAAGGAGGTAAGAAGTCACTTTATGTTTCTAGTCAGCTCGATTGACATGAATAGGTAAAATGGCTGTAGTTGGTTTCTCATCAGGATATCTATGTAATCTATCCCATGTCTGACTCAGGATGTGAAATAAAAACAAAAGATTAGAAGAATCTTTTTTAAAAAAATCTAGAAAATAAAACAAAAAAAAAGCTAGTGAATAAATAGCTCCCATCAGGTTATAACTAAAGTAGAGGAAATTTCCAAGATGTAAACCATAAAAATAATTATCAAAAAACAAAATCCTAAGTGAAAAGAACAAAGCTGGAGACATTATGCTACCCGACTTCAAACTATAATACAGGGATTACACTAAACAAAACAGCATGATAGTGGTACAAAAACAGACACATAGATGAATGCAGCAGAACAGATTGCCCAGATATAAGGCAGCATATCTATAACCATCTGATTTTTGACAAAGCTGAGAAAAAACAAATGGGGAAAGGATGCACTATTCAGTAAATGGTGCTGGGATAACTGGCTAGCCACATGCAGAAGATTGAAACTGGATCCCTTTCTTATACCACATATAAAAATTAACTCGAGATGGATTAAAATCTTAAATGTCAAACCCATAACTATAAAAACCCTGTCCGACAACCTAGGCAATACATAGAAATGGGCAAAGATTTTATGACAAAGATGACAGAAGCAATTGCAACAAAAGCAAAAATTGACAAATGGAATCAAATTCAGCTAAACAGCTTATGCACAGCAAAAGAAACTCATCAGAGTGAACAACCTACAGAATAGGAGAACATTTTTGCAAACTATGCATCTGACAAGGTCTATTCCTTAAATTCTATAAGAAAATTAAGCAAAGTTAAAGCAAAACCAAACAACCCCATTTAAAAGTGGGCAAAGGACATGAACACTTTTCAAAATAATACATACAGGTGACCAATAATCATAAGAAAGAAGGCTCAACATCACTGATCATTAGAGAAATGTAAATCAAAACCGCTATGAGATATCACCTCACACCAGTCATAATGGCAATTATTAAAAAGTCAAAAAATAACAGATGCTGGCATGGTTGTGAAGGAAAAGGAATGCTTATACATTGCTGATGGGAGTGTAAACCATTGTGGAAAACAGTTTGGTGATTTCCTCAATGGCCTAAAAGCAGAACTACCATTTCACCCAACAATCCCATTATTAGGTATATGCCCAAATGAATATAAATTGTTCTATCATAAAGACACATACATGCCTATGGGTTCATTGCATTACAATTCACAATAGTAATGACATGAAATCTACATTAATACCAATCAATAGTAGACTGGATAAAGAAAATGTGGTATACATACATCATGGAATACTGTGCAATCACAAAAAAGAATATCATGTCCTTTGCAGAAACATGAATGGCACTGGAAGCCATCATCCCTAGCAAACTAATGGAGGAACAGGAACTATTTGGAACACCAAATACCTCATTTTCTCACTTACAAGTGAGAGCTAAATGATGAAAACACATGGACACAACAAGGGGAACAACACACATGCCCTACTGAAGGGCAGAGAGTAGGAAGATGGAAAGGACCAGGAAAAATGAGTACTAAGGCTTAATGCCTGGGTGAAAAAATAACCTGTACAATAAACCTCCATGACACGAGTTTACCTACATACAAACTTGCACATATACCCCTGAACTTAAAAGCCAAAAACAAAACAAAAAGCAAACAAAACAAAACCAACCAAAGCTTCACACTGAAAAAGACTTATTTTAAATCCCATTATCATCACTAATAATTGTGTAATATTTGATAAATTAATTTCCTTGAAATTTAGTTTCCTTGAAGAAAAATTGATATGAAAATATTTAATTTGAAAAGTTATGGAGGTTTGTCAAATTTCCTTTGCTTTGTCTTTCCCTCTAGCTCAACGTTTAGTAATTCTACCTGAAAAATTAAGACATACTAGAAACTTAGAAGGCATCAAACTTTATTGAAAAGCAGATCTCCATATATGTATTGCCTGAGGAAATATCAGAAAAAACTATCTTATTTTTACATGAGAAATACAGTTAAAATTCATAGAAAACTAAAGTTTGGCAGATTTGTAAAATGTTTTCAGTGTCTTTATTCTGAACTAAAAAGGGTCATTCCATCAATGAAGTCTAGTGTAGGAGAAACAACTTGAAACCGGAAAGTATTTTTACTTTGCTGTGTAAACAAAGGAAAGTCATTTTTTCTCTATGGACCTCATTCCCTCAGTACTTCATAGAATATGGTTTAGTATTCCATAAAATAACATATGAGAGAATGATCTCTGAAGTTTAAAGTGTTATGATCATTATTGCAGTTCCGTTCTTGAGTGTGTCATTTTCCAGCACTGTTAAGAGCACCTGATAATACCTCATTTAACTTTTATTATAAACCTGCAAAATAACTGTTATTATACTTGTGCAAATGAATAAACTGAGGCACAGGAAGCTGATATCCATGGTATAACAGCTACCAAGTTTTATAGCCAGGATTGAACCTGTCTTGCTGACTATAAAACCAGGATTCCTATCCAAAAATACTATTTTGTCCCTAAAAAAAACCTTATTATTCTAGAATTCTCTATTTAGTATGATAAATAGTGCCTTATTTTTATTCATAAATAATAGGTAAAACCAAGTGCTAAGTCTTGTTGAGGAAAAATCTACATGATCACATTACTTGTCCATTACTGATCTGCTCATTGTTTCTTCCATTTCTGACTGGCAGGTGCTAATGGAACAATGTTATTCTACAGGGCTTTTAAGTTGTAATATATTTTTAATCCTATGTATTATCTTTGCAAAATCAAAAGACTTTCACAAGAATTTGACAAGTCTACAGATTTGAAAACAGTTGTACTTCCTTATGAAAAGGGAAAAATCTGTTCTCTGTTTATTCATATTCATATGCTGAACTTTTTAATACTCATATAAGGAGGGTGGACATAACAGTTCTAGAAACAACATTAAAATATAAATGGAACACAAGCACTCCACTGGGAGGAGTTAACTTTGCTTACAAAGTAGAACTGTACTTTTTATAAAGATGATCTCCTTGAGCAGGCAGTATGAGCCAACAGAAAGAGCTAAGAGATACTCAGTGAGAAAGATTTTTTCCACTTATTTGATTCATATAAATGCCTTTATCATTTTTAAAAACTGTTCATTCTATTTTTGTTAAACAGCATTCACTCAATAAGCTCAATGTTTACTTCATGTTCTGTTTCCTCTGAAAAATTCAAGGCCATTGGAAATGCTATAACTATATATGTGAAAAGAGGACACAGAGTTAACAATAAAGTTTAATCAGATTTACCTCATTTATAATGATCCAGTGACAGTCAAAAGCAACCAAATTAGTCTCCACAACCTGGAATAGAAAACAAACCAGCTATCAGTCAAAATTAATCAGGCAAAACAAACCAAACTAAATGAATACACTTTGCAAATGACAAAAAATAAATTGTATATTAGAAAGGTCTTTGTTACTCAATTGAAGATGGAAAAATAATTAGCAAAAACACTTTAGAAGCATTTGTCTTTGACACATAGATGCATTGTAGACTTGCTAATTAAATTCAAAAATATAATTCATCAAAACCTAGAAAACCATGGGTTTCAGCAGAAAAAATGTATAAATAAAATATTCTGTCTTGTGATTTAACTGAGAGTGGAGTTAAAATTTCAAATCACATTCCCTACTGAAAATAAACTCGATAGCTTTTTATCATCTACCTAATAAATATCAAAGTACATAGCTCCTACAATCTGGCTCTAATTTAATATTATTATCTTCTGCTACTTCTCTGTGTATATGCTTTCTACTGTTTTGACTCTGTAAACTGCTCTATATTCTCCTAAAAATCTTTGTCATGTGTATTCTAAAATGATCTAATTCTAAAATTATCTGAAAGTTAAATACCAAAAGTGATAGGCAACGTATTAGCATTAAAGCATGGATGGGAAATTTTAGTAGCCTTAGTTGGTAATAAGATGAAAAGAAATAAAATATATTTAAAAGGAAAAACAAAAATATATGGGCAGCTCTCTTGTTTGACTAACTTCAGATAACATTTATTCTAAATGATTCTTGGCTTAGGCCAAAAAAGGAAGCCTCAGATGTGTGTGTGTGTGTGTGTGTGTGTGTGTGTGTGTGTGTGTGTGTGT